GGACATGGGGGCTGAGCGAGGAGATGCTCACCTTTGGTCCCCTCACTGAGCTCACAATAGAAAAGCAAAGTGACAAAGGGACAGTTCATGATGAGGGAGTTTCTGGATGCATCTATAGCAGTGAGAGGGTCTGGAACGTCATGATGTCAGCTGTTTTGGACCCTGACTGCCATCCAGTCTCCCATGTTGTGTTTTTTGTAGAGATGTCCTGTTTGTACTGTGTGGTGTCAGGAAGGGTGAAATCCCTTCCCCATCTGGAGGGGCTGAGACCCCCTCTTTGGGGATTGGTTTGGGAGCTGGGAGGCAGCCCTCTATCAGGTGGTATGGGAGTGAGAACAATGCACTTTGTGAAGATCTGGGCGTGTCATGAGGTTTGGGTAAATCTTCTGTATGTATTTGTGTGTGTGTCTCTCTCTCTGAGCCCCAATATGCAAGAAGTGCTAGTGTGACAGGGCTTTTGGTGGGTGTTTTGGTGAACGGAGCAGAGCAAACATGCTTGTTTGCTCTAAAGCTGACATTTTAGGAGAGAAGAAGGAAGATATATAAGTAAAATTATACCATATGTCTAATGATTGGCCCTAAAGAGTAAAGAACAGTGGGGAGGAGTGCAGAGGGCCTGGGCTCTGTGTGTCTATGGGAACATCTGTGTGTCTCTGAGCCATTAACTCTGAGGGTTTGTGAGTTTGTGTGTCTGTGTCTGTGTGTGTCCTCCTATATGTGCCATGACAAAGCATGTGTGATTTTGTAAGTCTGTCTGTGGAGCTATGTGTGTCTGTCCTTTGAATTCTGGAGTGGTTGGTTTTCCCATGTTCTTGCCTAACTGCCCTGGTAGCGCCTTTCTCACCACGGTGGGTGGAGCTGGTGAGAGCAGACATCTGTGTCTTCTCTCTGATCTGAGAGAGAAAGCCCACAGTCCTTCACCATCAAGAGTGATGTCAGCTGTGGGTTCTTCACTGATGCTTTATTTCAGGGTGAGGGAGTTGACTGAGGGAGTTTCTCCTAGTTTATTGGGTGTTTTCCTTGTGAAGGGGCATTGAACTTAGTCTAATGCTTGTTTGTATCTATTGAGATGGTCCTGTAGTTTTTGACCTTGATTCTATTAATGATTTATGTTAATTCGTTTTCGGATGCAAAGCCAACATTTCTTTCGTGAGTTAAATCCCATGTGGTCATGTTGTTTAGGGCATTTTATATATTGCTGGATTCAGTGTATTAGTATTTTGTTCAGGCTTTTTTCATGTATATTAAAAAGACGTATTGTGTACTATATTATAATGTGGTATATAGTATAAAATTGTCTAATGCTGTATATAGTGTGTTTCTTTGTGTATATATAAAGAGAATGTAGAATGTAGTATATACATATGGATATATATAAAGTTTACTTGGTATATTGTCTGTATATAGTATGCGTAGTGTATGGTATAGTATTATACATAATTAGTATGTATTATATATGTAGAATATGTTATATAATTAACATATAATTAGTTTTGTAGTCTATAGTATAGTTACACTTTTATAGATAGTATTACAGTCTTTATAAGTCTGAAGCATAGTGGGCATCATTACCATGTCTGTCCACAGAATTATTTAAATAAGCCATTCACATCCTTCCCTGGGAACATGGGGGCCCCTCACTGTCCTGATACCCTGTTTGTTTTCTCTTCTGAGTGCCACTGAGGTGTGGGTGTGAGTTTCAGAAATTGTAACTAATTATCAGCCTGAGGGTTGAAGTGAGGCTCTGCGGTTTGATGTTCAGTAAGTCCAGAGACATGTGTGATCTTCTTATGTATTTGAATAATTATGAGCAAGATTCTCCCAGAGAATCTTCTCCCAAAAGGGTGACCTTGGATAAGGAGCTGATGTTCTTGTTGCCAGGCAGCTGGACCATTGGCAGTGAGCTAAAAGTCTGTAAAAATGTGAAGATGAGGTGGACTCTCGGCCAGGGCATGTTCTAGCATGATTGCCTGGAGTTTGGCTACTCCTGCCGACCCTTAGGGCCGTCTTTGATCAGGGACGGCATGGTTAGGGACAGCAGCAGCAAGTCTTCAGTCTTCTCCATCACACATGCTGGTGGGACACCACCATTGCTATGAAAATAGGTGCAGGATTTATTTTTACATAAACAAGAAAGCAAAGAACCTTCACAATGTAAGCCACGTGGCCTTTGCATATCAAAGGGAAGAAAGAAAAATATGTATGTTAAATTGCTTCCTTGTACATAAATGCTGAAAGACAGGAAATGAATTACATTGTGTCTCCATGGGCATGTGGAGTCTCGATGCCAATGCTAGAAGACATGCTAGGAGCAGCCTTTGGGCATAGCTCCAAATCTCAGTCCAAGTTTTTGAAACCTGATATTCACAATAAACAATTCATGATAAACAAAAAAATTTGTATTAACCATATTTTATTCTTAATAGTTTAAAAAAGCAAAAATTCAGCCGACTAAGTTTTAAAGATCTAATTTGCTTTGTCAAGCAATTCATCAGTTGGGCAGCATGCCAGCTAGCAAGTAGAGACGAGCTCCAAAGTGCTGCAGAAAGGGAAGGGTTTTAAAGGTAGGACAAGGAAGTCATAAACGGAAGAAAAGATTATTCTGGGCAACGTTACCTCCCTTTGGGGACAAAAGGGTCTTATTAGGTGGATGACCTCATCTTCCTTTGGAGGATTGAGGGATCATGTGGCAGATTGCCTCACTGGTGCTGACCAGAAAATCCTACACTGATTACATTCCCGGGGAAGGTTGAAATTGCAGTTAGGGTAGGTGTTAAGCCCTGGTTTGGTGCCCTGGGACTAGCAAAAGTTGTTCCATTTTAGGCCTGTGGTTTTCTTTTTGACAATAGTTTGTAATCAAATGACCAATGTATTTTTAATGGGAAGCCACATCCTTATGTATTAATCCTCTAAGCAATTTTATGTGTGTGTGTGAGGAAGATTGGCCCTGTGCTAACATCTCTTGCCAATCCTCCCCTTTTTGCTTGAGGAAGATTGTTGCTGAGCTAACACCTTGCCAGTCTTCCTCTACTTTGCATGTGGGATGCTGCCACAGCATGGCTTGATGAGCAGTGTGTAGGTCTGTGCCCGGGATCCAAACCCGTGAACCCCGGGCTGCTGAAGCACGGAACATGTGAACTTAACCGCTATGCCACCAAGTCAGCCCCTGTAAACAATTTTTTGAACTGTGCAATACGTTTTTACAACCATAAAAAATTAATTTTCTCAATTCTGTCTATAAAATGACAAGTGATATTACAGCCTGTAGTGCCATTGTATGTCAATCTGGAGAGGGTTGCTGATACAGTCAGTGTATTAAGTGCACTAGGCTGGCATAATAATATGAGGAGCTCCACAGACACATTCCCCAGTGAAACTGGAGGAAATTATTTTAAAACAACCATGCGAAGCCTCTGGAAATTGTCCTAAAGGCAAACAGCAAATGAAGTAATCTATTTAAGAAAATCCATAGAAATTCAGTGAGAAAGGAGAGTGTGTGGGATTTGAACCATGTCTGCTCCCTCCCTGCTCTCAGCTCAGCAGGTGAGCCCTCCTCTCCACAGCGCTGCCCCCCGAACCAGAAGACAAGGTTCTCCCTCCCTAAGCTTCCAGAAGTGGGGCTTTTCCCCAGGAGGAGCAGGACTTCAACATTACCCATCCTGCCTGCAGCTACCTGTTGCTGAATTTCAGTCCCTCATTGGTTCATGTGAAATGTGGGGACCCCTTCTTGCACCAGCCCCTCCTCCTGGTGCAGAGGCTCTGCTGTGCTCATGCTGTGCTGAGAATGCCGGGTCCTGATCCCTCTTTCCCCAGCTCATGAGGTGACTGTAACATGAGACAATCAAGAGGACTCCGGCTGCTGTCTTTCCACTGCACTGATCACTCAGCCCCTAGATTGGGATTGTCACCCAGAGAGAGGCTTCCTCATGTCCCCACCACAGCTCCAGAGTCCTGGCACACAGATTTTACTTGAACACAGGGCAGACTTGAGCCGTAAAACACGGAGCTCTTAATTCCTCCCCAAAGAATTAAGTTGACCAGCAAAACATCATGAAATGTTCAAGTCTAAGGGCACTTTCAAGAAAGTAGAGAATGAGGTGAAAGGCAATTAGTTGATTTCCAAATTTTTTTTTTTTTATATAAGATTGGCACCTGGGCTAACAACTGTTGCCAACCTTTTTTCTTTTTTTTTTCTTTTTCTGCTTTATTCCGCCCTCCTCCCCCCGCGCCCCCCCCCGCCCCCCCCTCCCCGTACATAGTTGTATATCTTAGTTGCAGGTCCTTCTAGTTGTGGGATGTGGGACGCCGCCTCAATGTGGCCTGATGAGTGGTGCCATGTCCGCGCCCAGGATCCGAACCCTGGGCCGCTGCAGCGGAGCGCACGAACTTAACCACTTGGCCACGGAGCCGGCCCCTGATTTCCAAATTTAGTGAAGCTACAGCTTAGACTGTAGGCTGACTAGTTTTCTGGAAAGAACCAGGGAATTAGACTGATGAGAGGACACTTACAAGCAACAGAACGAATCAAACAGTGACTTCACAAAGTGTCTCCACAAAGGAGCCAGAATTTCACTGGAGTATTTGATAGAGCAAGTTAAGGCAGGACCTTGATGAAAATAGTAGAGCAATCAGCCAGCAGTTAATCCACTGTAACCATGGAGTGTGTCCGTGAAGGAGCAAGAGAGCCCTCCAATGCCACTGCCTCATGACAGTAGACGCACCCAAAGCCATGCCGGTGCTAGGAGCTACATCAGAGGTTTCGCTCTGTGTGGAGGACATAGATTTAGCTAAGCTAATCCTCCCAGTCACTGAGCAAGAAAATAAGCTAATAACAATAAAAAATCCTAGAAGGAAGGAGACCAGTACCCACAGTTGCTATAATATATTACCTAAGATGTCTGGTTTGCATCAAAAATATGAGACCTGCAAAGATACTGGAATGTAGGAACCATACACTGGGGAGAAAAACAGCAATTGAAAAATTTACCCAACTTTTACAGGAGAACCCAGTAACATCAACAGGTGACATCTCAGCAGCAAAAAGGAAGATCAGGAGGCAGAGGGATAACATATTCAAAGTGCACGAAGAAAAAACCTGTTAACCAAGAATCCTATATGCACCAAAACTACCTTGTAAAATGTAAAGATGAAATAAAGACTTTCTCAGATAAAGAAAAACTGAGAAAATCTATTAATAGCCAACTGTCTTACGAGATTACTGAAGGAGTTCTTCACTTTCAAACCAAGTGACCCAGGATGGTAATTGATATCAACATAAAGAAACAAAAACACCAGTAAAGGTAATTATGTAAATATGGAAGACAGAATAAATACCAATTTTCTCCTTTCTTCTCTTAGCTGATATCAAAGGAATTGTATAAAATACTATATATTTAATGTGCTGTTGTGCTTATTAAATGTAGAAATGTAGTATTTGTGTAATTTGTTTCTCATTAAAAGCACAAAGGGTTGGTGCAAATGTGTGTTGGGCTAAACAAGTGAGTACAGATGGAAAAGAAATGAGTGTAACAATGTATTATTGAGTTGTCATTCATAGATATAATCTGCGTAACGATAATACCACAAAAATGGCAAAAGGGAATATAGTTATCTGTGATTAAAATTCTGTGTATCACTGGAATTAAGCTACTATAAAACTGAAGTTCAGGGGCCAGCCCTGTGGCGCAGCAGTTAAGTGTGCACGTTCCTCTGGGGTTCGCCGGTTTGGATCCTGGGTGCGGACATGGCACCACTTGGCACGCCATGCTGTGGTAGGTGTCCTACATATAAAGTAGAGGAAGATGGGCACGGATGTGAGCTAAGGGCTAGTCTTCCTGATCAAAAAGAGGAGGATTGGCAGCAGATGTTAGCTCAGGGCTAATCTTCCTCCAAAGGAAGAAACAGAACAAAAAACCCCCCCAAAAACCCTGAAGTTCATTCTTATATATTAAGGTGTGTATATTAAATAGAGCAAACTCTAAAAAAAAATTCAAAAATATAGTGAAGTCACTTAAAAATTAAGATGCTAAAATTGCACTTACTGCAATAGAAGGCCATAAAGCAGGAGAGGAGAAACTAAAAGGAGTATGAGAACTGTAGAAAACAAAAAGTAAAATTGCAGGTGTAATTGCGACTATGTCAGTAACACTAAATGTGAGTGGATTACATTATCACAACTGGAGGAAGACATTGTCACATCAGATTAAAAAATAAATAAAACTGTGATCTAAATATATGCAGTGTACAGGAAACACACTTTAGATTCAAAGATAGAAAGAGATTCAAAGTAAATGATGGGAAAATAGACATCTGGAAATAGCACCCACAACAAAGCTGGAGACATGATACAAATATCTAGCAAAATAAACTTTAAAACAAAACATATCACTAGAGATAATGAGGAACATTATCTCATACCTAAAGGGTCAAAGTTTATGGCCTGAATCTAAAACAGTACAAAGAAAGAAATTTATGGCCATTAATGCCTATACTAAGCAAAAAGAGAGATCTCTAATCAATAACCTAAAAGTTGAGGTACCAAATCCAGTGCAAAGAGAAAGAAGATAATAAAAATTAGAGCAGAAATTAATGAATGAGGAAGAGAAAAAGCGCAGAGAAAATCAATGAAACCAAAAATAGTTTTTATGGAAAGATTAACAAATATGACAGTTCTTTAGCTAGATTGATTTAGAGAAAAAGGGGGAAGATTCAAATTCATACAATCAGAAAGAAAGAGGGATGTCACAGGTGACGTTACAGAAATAAAAAGGATTATAGAAGAATTCAGTGAACAGTTGTGTGGCAATAAATTAGATAACCGAGATGAAACGGACAAATTCCTCGAAAGACGCAAACTACTGAACCTAAATCAAGAGTAAGTGGAAAATCTGAATAGAACTATAACAAGTGAGGGGGTTGAATTAGTAAACAAACAGCTACCCACAATGAAAGGCTCGGCCTAAATGGCTTTAACTCAGAATTCTCTGAAACATTCAAAGATTCTTTATTACCGATTCTTCGCAAACTCTTTAAGAAATTAAAATGGAGAGAACACTGATTCATTTTGTGCGGCCAGTATAATAAATAGCAGCAGAGCAGATCCAGGAATATGTTAGAGACTCACACACCATGACCGAGTGGGATTTGTTCCAGGGATGAACGGTTGGGTTAACATCTCAAAATCCAGTTATGTAATAAAGGATATCGATAGAGTAAAAAGCAAAAATGGCAAGATTTGTATTTTGACCTTGTATTCCATCACTTTGCTAACTCAATTTTCAGTTCTAATAGTTTTTTAGTGGACATTACACTTTTCTTAAAAGATTTGTGGAATTAGAGATACATTTACATCTTTCTAACCAATGTTTATGTATTTTAGTTTCTTTTTTGCATAATGGTTTTGGTTAAAATCTGCAGTACATTCTCGAATAGAACTAGCTAAAGCAGATACAGTCTTGCATCACTTAACCACGAGGATATGTTTGGGAAATGCGTCATTAGGCTATGTCGTCACTGTGTGAACATCCTAGAGTGCACTTACACAAGCCTACACACGTCGGCTCTATGGTGTGGCCTGTTGCTTCTAGGCTACACACCTGTACAGCATGTTACTGTACTGAATGCTGCAGGCAGTTATAACAATGGTAAGTATTTGTGTATCTAAACATAGAAAGTTATGGTAAAACTTTTGCTGTATAAAAGGTAAAAAATGGTACACTTGTATAGGTCTTTGTTATATGATCTCTGGGTTTTGGCAAATGTACAATGACATATTTATTATTTCTGTATCATAGAGTATAGTTTTGCTCCCTTCAAAGCCCTCTGTGCTCACCTGTCGATTCATCCCTCCCTCCAACCCCCAAATCCTTCACTTCTGGAGATCTTTCAACTGGCTCATGCTTTTGTCTTTTCTAGAACATCGTATACTTGGGATCATACAGTATATAACTGTGTCACATTGGCTGCTTTCCCTTAGCAATGTACTTTTAAGGTTCCTGCATGTGTTTTCGTGGCTTGATTCCTCATTTCTGTTTATCACGGAACAGTGTTTCATTGTATGGATGCACCACTTGTCTGATCGACTTACTGAAGGACATCTCGCTTAGCTCTGTTGATAATTATAACTAAAGCACCTAACAAATATTCATGTACAGGTTTTTATGTGAACATAGGGTTTCAACTCATTTGGAAAAATACCAAAGAGGGTGATTGCTGGATCTTACTATACATAGTAAGAGTATATTTTGCTTTGAAAGAAAGTTCCTGTCTTCCATTGTAGGCCTGCCAAATTCCATTCCCACCAGCAATGAATGATGATTACCTGTAGCTTCACGTCTTCACCAATATTTGATGTTCTGAGTGTTTTGAATTTTAGCCATTAATAAGCAGTGATACTTTATTGTTGTTTTATTTGCAGTTTCCCAGTGACATTTGATGTGGAGCATGTTGTCATTTTGCTTTTCCCACCTGTCTGTCTTCTTTGGTGAGCTGTCTGTTCAGATCTTTTGCCATTTTTAATTGGGTTGTTTTTCTTCTTACTGTTGTCTTAAGAGTTCTTTAGATATTTTGGATACCAGTCATTTATCAGGCACATGTTTTGCAAAAATTTTCTCCTCCTCTGTGACTTATCTTTTCATTCTTTTAACAGTATCTTTCTCAGAGCAGTTTTTCATTTTAATGAAATGAAATTACCATTTTTTTCTTTTATGGACCTTGCTTTTGGTGTTGTATTTAAAAATTCATCACCAAACCCGAAATAACCTAGATTTTCTCCTCTGGTGTCTTCTACGAGTTTATTACTTTTGCATTTTAAATTTAGATCTATAATAATCTGTTTTGAGTTAAAATTTGTGAAAGGTGTCAAGCCTGAGTCTGCATGTTTTGTGTGCATGTGTGTTTGTGGGTGGATTTCCATTATGTCCAACACTGTTTGTTTAAAAGACTTTCCTTTTGAATTGCCTCTTCTCCTTTGTCAAAGACCAGTTAATTATATTTGTGTGGGTCTGTAAGGATTATGCTTCAGTCTTACTATTCTGTCTTATTAATTCCAAAAGTTATCTGTATTTTTGTAGATTCTTTCAGATGTTTCACAGAGACAGTCATGTCCTACAGAACAAATGTTATGAATTTAGCTACAGGATTTGTGAAGATCTTTCTCAAGAAGCAAAAGTTCCCCTCTATTACTAGTTTGTTATCATAAGTGGATTTTGGATTTCATAAATTAAAAAATTTTCATTTCCCCCTCCTTTCCTTTCTGATATTAGTAATTTCTGTGTTCCATCTTTTCTTAGTTATTGTCACTAGAGGTTTATCCATTTTATTGGTCTTGTCAAGAAATCAGCTTTTTAAAAGCTTTTTCTCCATTGATTTCCCACAATTATGTTAATTTTTTCTTAATTTTTATTATTTCATATATTGTGCTTGCTTTGGGTTTAATTTGGTCTTCTTTTTATTGTTTTCTAAGGTAGATGCTTACATTGTTGATTGTAAATCCTTGTTTTTTCCGGTGTATTTGTTTGATGGCATAAATTTCCCTCCGGGCACTGTTTTTGCTGCGTGCAAGACCCTTTGGTGTGTTGTGTTTTTATTTCATTTAGTCTAGAATAATTTTTTATTTCCCTTGAGACTTCTTGTTTAATCCCATTTATTATTTAGAAGTGTGTTTTTGAATCTCCATATATTTGGGGCTTTTCCAACTATCTTGCTGTTATTGATTTCTAGATTAAAGCCTGTGCAGTCTAAGAGCATATTTTGTATGCTTTCTGTCAAATTTGTTAAGATGTGTTTTAGGTCCCAGAATATGTTCTGTCTTGGTGAATGTTTCATGTGAACTTGAGAAGAATGTGTACTCTGTTTTTGTTACATTAAGTATTCCATAGATTACAATGAAATCCAGTTGTAGAGTGCTGTTCAGTTAAACTCTGTCCTTCCTCATTTTCTGCCTGCTGGAATTTATAGTTTGTGATAAAGGAGTGTTGAAGTCTACAGCTATAGTAGTGGATTTATCTCTTTTTCCTTGTGTTGTATCAGCGCTTGTCTTCCGTGTTTTGCTCCTCTGTTGTCATGCACATACACATCAAGGATTGCTGTGCCCTCTTGAGAATGGACCCCTTGATCATTATGTAATGCCTCTCTTTATCTCTGGGCTTTCTTTGGTTTGAAATCTGTATTGTCTGAAATTCTTATACCTATGCCAGCTTCCTTTAGTGTTAAACTCTTATGTTAATTATAATAAATATAAAAAGTTTTACATTTATTTATTCCTTTTTTAAATCTCCACCTTTACCATTTACATTTTTCCTGATAAATTTTTGAGTGTTTCATTCAAAGTAGGAATACTAATGAAAAATTTCCTCACTTTTTGTCTGTTTTTATTTTTCCTTATTTTTGAAGGATAAATTTGCTTGACAGAGAATTCTAGGAGGTGGTTTTTAAGTTACAAAACATTAAACATTTCTCTCCACTCTGTTCTTGCTTGCATGGTTTCTGAAAACAAGTCCAGTTGAATGCCAGTCTTTGTTTCTCTATACCTAAGGTGTGTTTTCCCCTCTGGCTTCCTTTGATATATTTCTTTGTCTTTGATTTTTGTCTAGTGTGAAGATGCTATTATTCGGCGTGCATTTTTGGTGTTTTCATGTTTAATGTTCAACATGAAATCATTGTGGACTTCGGTGAACTCACTTGCAATCTGCGGCTCTTCACCTGTTCCTCAGGCACAGCAAGGCCCAGGGTCCACTGTTAGGGTTGGCCTGGAAAGAGCTCTTCCGGCACGTTATTATCTCACTCTATGTTCTAAAGATTGGCTGGAGCCCCGAGGCACATGAGTGTACAGATTGTATGGTCTAAGTTGTCATGCCTTCTTCCTATGTCTGAACTCTAAGTTCCAAATGACTTTCTAGCCCCATCAAGTCATAGAGAGAGAGAAAGGAAGAGCAGAGTCTGTGATAAATATTACACAAGTTAAAAGCTATGCTTCCCCGCAAGAATATTTACATTCAGGCAGCTGAATATAAATATAAGGGCCTGAAGTACGTCTTGACAGTATAGCCAGCTGGACCTTGATAAAAGTTTAATTTTTACGGGCCACCTGGACTCTCATGTTTGGTGATGGGAATAGAAGAGTAACCTTCCCGTTCTTCACTGTGTTTTTATTCATTGAAATGTCATGCAGATTTGGCCCTCTGCCTCATGGAGTGCTGTAAATGGTGGGTAATCAGGAAGAAGATATAAGAATATTCCTCACGAGGAATCAGTCTTAAAATGATAATATTTGGTTCATATGTATAGCATTTCCCAATTTGCTCTGGACCCTGCCATCAGAGAGAAATAAGATGAAATGTGACCACAGCAAAAATGTGTAAATAATTTCCATGTATTCATAATGCTGTTAAGTTGAGGATGAAGTGTGTACAGGAAAACAATGAGTTTTTTATGATCATGACATAGAATAAATGTTTGCAGAAGAATCATATGTAACCTCCCTACTAATGGAGTGTAGATCCCCAGTGCCGTCAGTCTTATGCATCCTCCTCTACACATGTATGTGGTCTTTTAGGGCTCAGTGACCATTGAGGATGTGGCTGTGATCTTCACCCCAGAGGAGTGGGCTTTACTGGAACCTTCACAGAAGAAACTCTACAGAGATGAAATGTGGGAAACCTTGAGGAACCTGGCGTCAGTAGGTAAGATTGAGGACATTCCTTCCCTTAGTCAATTAGAGAACAAGTCTTTCCTGCCCATCAGTGTTGTTCCAAATGTGGAATGTGGAAAGGGAGGATGTTGGTAAATAGACTAGACGTGGTCACAGCTCATCATGGACCTAGAATCTAATAATTTTTCTATAATTTCTAATATTTTAGAATTATTTTTTTCTGGGTTTGCCTTTTAGGAGAACAATGGGAAGATCGTGACATTGAAGATTGGTACAAAACCCAGGGGAGAAAACTAAGGTGAGTCACACTCACAGTAGAAAGCAGTGTCTCAGGTGAGAATCCTGGCATGTTATGAAATTTTTAAAAGTAGCAAACAGAACAAATAATCCCTGCTTCAAGTTTAATTATTATTAGAAAATTTTCAGGAAATATACTTTCTTAAATGTGACATAGTTCAAGGTTTGCAAAACAGTTCACTTGGAAACAATAAACTCTATATGAATATCACTTTTTTTTATTTTATTGAGATCATAATAGTTTATAACATTGTGAAATTTCAATTATACATTATTATTTGTCAGTCACCATATAAATGTTCCCCTTCACCCTTCACCCTTTACTCTCACCTCCCAACCGCCTGCCTTTCTGGTAACCACTAAACTATTCTCTCTGTCCATGTGTGTGTTTATCTTCAACATATGAGTGCAGTCATACAGTGTTTGTCTTTCTCTGTCTGGCTTATTTCACTTAACATAATACCCTCAAGGTCCCCCCATGTTGTGAATGGGACGATTTTGTCTTTTTTATGGCTGAGTAGTTTTCCATTGTGTATATATATATACCACATCTTTTTTATCCAAACATCAGTCGGTGGGCACTTGGATTGCTTCCACATCTTGGCTGTTGTGAGTAATGCTGCAGTGAACATAAGGCTGCATAAGTCTCTTTGAATTGTTGATTTCAAGTTCTTTGGATAAATACCTAGTAGTGCCATATCTGGGTTGTATGATATTTCTATTTTTAATCTTTTAGAAATCTCCATACTGTTTTCCATAGTGGCTGCACCAGTTTGCTTTCCCACCAGCAGTGTTTGAGGGTTCCTTTTTCTCCACACCCTCTCCAACATTTGTTATTTTTTGTCTGGGTGATAATAGCCATTCTAACAGGTGTAAGGTGATATCCTACTGTAGTTTTGATTTGCATTTCCCTGATGATTAGTGATGTTGAGTATCTTTTCATGTGCCTATTTGCCATCTGTATATCTTCTTGGGAAAAATTTCTGTTCATATCTGCCCTTTTTAAAAAAAATTTTAATTGAGTTCATAATAGTTTATGTCAATGTGAGATTTCAGTTGTACATTATTTCTTGATTGTCACCACATAAGTGCTCCCCTTCACCCCTGTGCCCACCCCCAACCCCACTTCCCCTGGTAATCACTGAACTGTTGTCTTTGTCCATGTGTTTGTTTATCTTCCACATATGAGTGAAATCATATGGCGTTTGTCTTTTTCAGTCTGGCTTATTTTGCTTAGTATGGTTCCCTCCAGGTCCTTCCATGTTGTTGCAAATGGGATGAATTTGTCTTTTTTTATGGCTGAGTAGTGTTCCATTCTGTATATATATATACCACATCTTCTCTATCCAATCATTGGTCAGTGGGCACTTGAGTTGCTTCCATGTCTTGGCTATTGTGAATAGTGCTGCAAGGAACATAGAGGTGCTTATGTTACTTTGGATTGTTGATTTCAAATTGTTTGGGTAGATACCCAGTAGTGGGATAGCTGGGTCATATAGTAGTTCTATTTTTCATTTTTTGAGAAATCTGCATGCTGTTTTCCATAGTGGCTGCACAGTTTGCATTCCCATCAGCAGTGTGTGAGGGTTCCCTTCTCTCCACACCCTCTCCAATATTTGTTATTTTTAGTCTTATTGATTATAGCCATTTTAACAGGCGTAAGGTGGTATCTTAGTGTAGTTTTGATTTGTGTTTCCATGATGATTAGTGATGCTGAGCATCTTTCATGTGGTTATTGGCCATCTGTATATCTTCCTTGGAGAAATGTCTGTTCATATCCTCTGCCCATTTTTTGATTGGGCTATTTGTTTTTTTATTGTTCAGTTCTGTGAGTTCCTTACATATTATGGAGATTAACTCCTTGTCAGATATGTGATTTGCAAATATTTTCTCCCAATTGGTGCGTTGTCTCTTTGTTTTGATTCTAGTTTCTTTTCACACCTGCCCATTTTTTGATCAGGTTGTTTGTTTTTTTGTTGAGTTCTGTCAGTTCTTTCTTTATTTTAGCTATTAATCCCTTGTTGGGTATATGATTTGCAAATATTTTCTCCCAGTTCGTGGGTTGTCTTTTCATTTTGTTCCTGGTTTCCTTTGCCTTGCAGAAGCTCCTTAGTCTGATGAAGTCCCACTTGTTAAATTTTTTCTTTTGTTTCCCTCACCTGAGTAGACATGGTATTTGAAAAGATCCTTCTAAGACTGATGTGAAAGAGTGTAGTGCCTGTATTTTCTTCTAGGAGTTTTATGGTTTTAGAGTCTTACCTTCAAGTCTTTGATCCATCTTGAGTTAATTTTTGTATGTGGTGAAAGATAATGGTCTACTTTCATTCCTTTGCATGTGGCTGACCAGTTTTCCCAACACCATTTATTGAAGAGACTTTCCTTTCTCCATTGTATGTTCTTAGTTTCTTTGTCGAAGATTAGCTGTCCATAGATGTGTGGTTTTATTTCTGGGCTTTCAATTCTGTTCCCCATTGATCTCTGTGCCTGTTTTTTTTGTACCAGTACCATGCTGTTTTGATCACTTTAGCTTTGTAATATGTTTGGAAGTCAGGGATTGTGATGCCGCTAGCTTTGTTCTTTTATCTCAGGATTGCTGTAGCTATTTGGGGGTCTTTTGTTCCCCATATGAATTTTAGGATTCTTTGTACTATTTCCATGAAGATTGTCATTGGGATTCTGAGTGGGATTGCACTGAATCTGTAGATTGCTTTAGGTAGTATGGACATTTTAACTATATTTATTCTTCCAATCCATGCGTGGAATATCTTTCCATTTCTTTATGTCATCATGGAGTTCTTTCAATAACATCTTATAGTTTTCGTTGTTTAGGTCTTTCACCTCAATAGTTAAATTTATTCCTAGGTATTTTATTATTTTTGTTGCGATTGTAAATGGGATTGTATTTTTGAGTTCTTTTTCTGTTAGTTCATTGCTAAGGCTTTGTAAAATGTGTTAGGAAATATTCCATTTTCTTCATTGTTTGTTCATTGCTAATGTAGAAATGCAGCTGATTTTTGTGGGTTGATTTTGTACCCTGCAAGTTTGCTGTAGTTCTTGATTATTTCTAATAGTTTTCCAATGGATTTTTTTACGGTTTTCTATGTATAAAATCATGTCATCTGCAAACAATGAGAGTTTCACTTCTTCCTTGCCAATTTGAATTCCTTTCATTTCTTTTTCTTGTCTTATTGCTCTGGCCAAAACCTCCAGTACTATGTTGAGTAAGAGTGGTGACAGTTTTTCCCTGTTGAGTATGATGTTGGCTGTGGGTTTGTCATTTATAGCCTTGATTATGTTGAGGTACTTTCCTTCTATACCCATTTTATTGAGAGTTTTTATCATAAATGGATGTTGGATCTTGGCAAATGCTTTTCCCACACCTATTGAGATGGTCCTGTGGTTTTTATTCCTCATTTTGTTAATGTTGTGTACCACATTGATTGATTTGTGGATGTTGAACCATCCCTGCGTACCTAGTATAAATCCCATTTGATCATGATGTGTGATCTTTTTAATGTATTGCTGTATTTGATTTGCCAATATTTTGTTGATGATTTTTGCATCTATGTGCATCAGCAGTATTTGCCTATAATTTTCCTTCTTTGTTTTGTCCTTGTCTGGCTTTGGGATGAGGGTGATGTTGGCTTTGTAAAATGTGTTAGGAAATATTCCATTTTCTTCATTGTTTTGGAATAGTTTGAGAAGGACAGGTATTAAATCTTCTTTGAATGTTTGGTAGAATTCTCCAGAGAAGCAAACTGATCCTGGGTTTGTATTTTTTGGGAGGTTTTGGATTACTGTTTCAATCTCTTTACTTGTGATTGGTCTATTCCGATTCTCTCTTTCTTTGTGCCTTAGTTTTGGGAGGTTGTATGAGTCTAAGAATTTATCAGTTTCTTCTAGATTGTCCAATTTGTTGGCATATAGTTTTTCATAGTATTCTCTTATAATCCTTTGTCTTTCTATGGTATCTGTTGTAGTTTCTCCTCTTTGATTTCTAGTTTTATTTATTTGAGCCTTCTCTCTTTTTTTCTTAGTGAGTCTAGCTAAGGGTTTGTCAATTTTGTTTGTCTTCTCAAAGAACCAACTCCTTGTTTCATTGATCCTTTCTGCTGTTTTTGTTGTTGTTCAATTTCATTTATTTCTGCTCTAGTTTTTATTATATCCTCCTTCTGCTGACTTTGGGCTTTCTTCTTTTTCTAATTGTGTTAGGTGTTGTTTAATATTGCTTATTTGAGACTTTTCTTGTTTGTTAAGGTGGGCCTGTATTGCTGTGAATTTCCCTCTTAGGACTGCTTTTGCTGCATCCCATATGAGTTGGTATGGTGTATTTTCATTTTCATTTGTCTCCAGATATTTTTTGATTTCTCCAGTGATGCATTGGTTGTTCAGTAGCATGTTGTTTAGTCTCCACATATTTGTCACTATCCCAGCCTTTTCTTGTGGTTGATTTCTAGTTTCATAGCATTACAGTTGGAAAAAATGCTTGATATGATTTCAATCTTCTTAAATTTATTGAGGCTTGCCTTGTTTCCCAACGTATGATCTATCCTTGAGAATGTTCCATGTGCGCTTGAGATGAATGTGTATTCTGTTTTTGGATGGGGTGTTCTCTATATATTAAGTTGATCTGGTCTACTTTTTCATTTAAATCCACTATTTTCTTGTTGACTTTCTGTTTGGATGATCTATCCATTGACATAAGTGTGGTGTTAAGGTCCTCTACTATTATTGTGTTATTGTTAATATCTCCTTTTAGGTCTGTTAATAGTTGCTTTGTGTACTTTAGTGCTCCTCTGTTGGGTGCATATATGTTTATGTGTTCTGTCTTCTTGGTGGAGTGTCCCTTTTATCATTATATACTGCCCCTCTTTGGCTCTCATTGCCTGTTTTGTCTAGAAGTCTAGTTTGTCTGATATAAGCATGGCAACACCTTTCTTTTATTTGCCATTAGCTTGGAGTATCATCTTCCATCCCTTCACTCTGAGCCTATATTTGTCATTGGAGCTGAGATGTGTTTCCTGGAGGCAGCATATTGTTGGGTCTTGATTTTTAATCCATCCCGGCACTCTGTGTCTTTTCATTGGAGAATTCAATCCATTTGCATTTAGACTGATTATTGATATATGAGGGTTTGATGCTGCTACTTTATCTCTCATTTTCTGGTTGTTCTGTATTTCTCTTGTTTCTCGTCTCAGGTATTTCAGACTATCAGTTCAGTTTGGTAGTTCTCTATGATGTTTTTCTCAGTTTACTCTTTATTTATTGTTTATGTCTCTGTTCTAATTATTTGTTTAGTGGTTACCATGTGATTTCTATAAAAACACTTGTAGATGAGAAGTCTTTTTTCTGATAGCCTATTTCCTTAGACCAAGCTGACTACGTCCCTTTCCTCTTCCCCTACTAAATTATTGTTGTCACAACTTAGTCCATCTTGTCTTGTGAGTTTGTCGTTAAAATGATGAGATTATATTTATTTTTTGTTTTCCTTCCCTTTATCTTTAATGTTGTAATTAAGTGTTTGCTAACTTGTTCTGATACAGAGCTGCAATTTTCTGATTTTGTCTGCCTATTTATCTCCTTTCTCAAGGCTTTGTAAACCCTTTCTTTTTTTTCAGGGTGAGCGCCGCCTTCAGCATTTTGTGTGTGTGTGTGGGGGGGGGAGGGGGGTGGTCTTATGGCAATGAATTCCCTTAGCTTTTGTTTGTCTGGGAGAGATTTTGTTTCTCCATCATATCTGAAGGAAATTTTCACTGGATATAATATTCTTGGCTGAAAGTTTTTGTCTTTCATTATTTTGAATATATCATTCCACTCTCTCCTAGCCTGTAATGTTTCTGCTGAGAAACCTGCTGAAAGCCTGATAGGAGTTCCTTTGTAAGTTATTTTCTTCTGCCTTGCTGCCCTTAATATTCTTTCTTCGTCATTGACCTTGACCAGCTTTACTACTATATGCCTTGGAGAAGGTCTTTTTACATTGATGTAATTTTGTGTTCCATTAGCTTCTTTTGCTTGTATTTCCAGCTCCTTCCCCAGGTTTTGGACGTTCTCAGCTATTATTTGTTTGAACAAGCTTTCTGCTCTCTTTTTCCTCTGGAATTCGTATTATCATTGTGTTGCATTCCCAATTGAGACAGATATTTCTCAGAGAATTTCTTTGTTTCTTTTTAGTCTTATTTCTCTCTCCTTCATTTGAAGCATTTCTATTTCTATCCTCTGGTCTGCTCCTTCTGTCCTCCAAAATATCAGCTCTGTTATTCAGGGAGTTCAGGTTTTTCTTTATCTGGTTCACTGTATTTTTCATTTCCAACACTTCTGATTTGTTTTTCTTTATAGGTTCAATCTCTTTTTTGAAGAATTCCCTTTCTTCTTTAATTTATCTCCTGATTTCATTGAACTATCTGTATTGTCTTGTAACTCATTTTCTTTTTAATGGTAGCTATTTTGAATTCTCTGTCAGTTAGATAATAAATTTCTGTGACTTCAGGATTGATTTCTGAGTGCTTGTCATTTTCCTTCTGGCCTATTAATTTATTTATTCATATTATTTGATGGCGTGGATTTGTGCCTTAGCATAGTGACAGTATCTGGTCACAGCTTCCACCTGTTGCCATTGGGGTGGGAGTCAAGAGCTCTGTATTTGGAACCCCCTGTGACAGCTGGTGTCTGTGCCTGTCTTCGGAATCTGTGCTGACGTCCTGTCTGTGATTGCCAGCTAGGTTGCTGACGCTGCTGCTTTTCTAACCTGTGCATGAGTGCTCTGGTTGACCACCTGAGCTGGAGCACTGGGTGGGAGGAGGGCCGCTTGCTTTTTCCTGTGTGATCCCAGGGTCATTCTTGCTGTGCCCTTGCTATCTGCTCCTAGGGTTTTGGCTTGATGAAGATGCTGCCACAATAGCTTAGCCACCTCTGTGTGGGGCCTTCCCAGAGGCTTTGAGGGAACTTGGAAAGTGAAGGTGTTCCTGCGGAGAGCTACCTCTCCCCCCTCTTTTTCCAGAGCCTCATGTGGTCCCATGCCCCAGTCGCTGTTGTTTAGGAGGGAAAGGATATCCCCTTACCCACTTCCACTTGCCCTGGGGGTGTCCAGCACTTTCACCTTCAGACATATGGCTGTGTGGGTCTCTCAGACGTCTTTTGTGTTGTGTGAATGTCTTCTGTTGGTTTATGAATGTCCTTTTCTTTGTATGTGAGGAGGGAGCGTCTAAGGGAAGAGCTCACTCCAGCATAATGCTGTCATCACTCTTGAATATTACTGTTTTGACAGTAGCAAAGGTGAAGTCTTCTTGCAGAGCATTCAGTATGTTCAATTTCAGGCAATTCAGACAAGGCAGAAAACCTACATTTTTTCTATAAATCATAATAATAAATATAAAATCATTAATAAAGAAGTCAGCAGTAATGTTCTTCTTGTCTTTTACAGAAGTCATACGATAGAGAGACTCTGTGAAAGTGAAGAGGGTAGTCAACGTGGAGAAAACTTGAGCCTTATTCCAAATCTCAATCTGAACAAGAAAACTACTGGAGTGAAACCACATGAATGCAGTGCATGTGGAAAAGTCTTCATGCGTCATTCATCCTTTCATAGGCACATCAGATGTCACACTGGACACAAACCATGTGAATATAAAAAATGTGGAAAGAAGCCATATAAATGTAAGTACTGTGGAAAAACCTTCTGTTATCTCCAATTTTTTGAAACACATGAAAGAATTCACAATGGAGTGAAAACCTGTAAATGTAAGGAATGTGGGAAAACCCTTAGTTGTTCCCGTTTACTTCAGATACATGAAAGAAGTCACACTGTAGAGAAACCCTATAAATGTAAGGAATGTGGGAAAGTATTCATTTATCCCAGTGCATTTCGAATACATGAAAGGAGTCACACTGGAGAGAAACCCTATGAATGTAAAATATGTGGTAAAGCCTTCAAATTTTCCAGTAATGTTCACGTACACGAAAGAACTCATACTGGAGAGAAACCCTATAAATGTAAAAAGTGTAGTAAAGCCTTCACTTGTCCCAGTTCTCTTCAAAGACATGAAAGAACTCACACTGGAGAGAAACCCTATGAATGTAAAAAATGTAGTAAAGCATTCACTTCTTCCGGTTCTCTTCGAAGACATGAAAGAATTCATACTAAAGGGAAATCCTATGAATGTAAGGAATGTGGGAAAGATTGTTTAACTCTCACAAAGCTTGAAGCACACATGGTCACTCACGGTGGAGATGGACCTTATAAATGTAAGGAATGTGAGAAAGCATTCTTTTCTCCCAGTGCCTTTCAACTGCATGGAAGGAGTCACAATAGAGAGAAAGTGTATGAATGTAAAACATGTGGTAAAGCCTTCAGTCGTTCCAGTTCTGTTCAACGACATGAAAGGACTCACACTGGAGAGAAACCCTATGAATGTAAAACATGTGGTAAAGCCTTCAGTTGTTCTAGTTCTGTTCAACGACATGAAATAACTCATACTGGAGAGAAACCTTATGAATGTCAGGAATGTGGGAAAGCCTTCATTTGTCACACAGACTTTCGAAGACACATGAGAGTGCACACTGGAGAGAAACCGTATAAATGTGAAGAATGTGGGAAAGCTTTCAGTGATTACAGTTCCTTAAAAATGCACAAAAGAATTCACACAGGAGAGACACCCTATGTATGTAAGGAATGTGGTAAGGCTTTTGTTTCTCTTCGAGGTTTCCAAATACATGAAAGAAATCACACTGGGGAGAAACCCTATGAGTGTAAGGAATGTGGGGAAGCCTTCAGTTATACCAGTTCTCTTCGAAAACATGAAAGCGCTCATACTGGCAAAAACCCCTATGAGTGTAAAAAATGCAGTAAAGCATTCACTTCTTCCAGTTCTCTTCGAATACATGAAAGAACTCATACAGGAGAAAAACCCTATGATTGTAAGGAATGTGGAAAAGCCTTCATTTCTCTCAGATATCTTCGAAGACATGAAAGAATTCATACTGGAGAGAAACCCTATAAATGTCAGGAAAGTGGCAAAGCCTTTATTCCTCATGAAAAGTTTTGAGGATATGTGAGATGGCACACTAGAATAAAAATCATATAAATGTAAAGAATGTAGGAAAGCTTTTGTCATCCCAGTTCTTTCTGAAGGCATGAAAGGACTCACTTAATAAAAACCTCTTGAATGTAAAGTGTGGGAAAGACTTCAATTGGCCCACATTCTTCTATGTGAAACTCCCACCAGGAAGAAATAATAAATTTAAGTCTTATGAGAAAGGTTGATGGAAATTAACTTGTCGATAATGTTCTAGAAAACTTTCAGCTTGAAAGAGTTGTCATAAAAGTCGTAAATATATTGTTTACCAAGGCTCTTTCTCAAATTGCAGCATTGGATTTTGGATTTCTATTAATTACTTTCAGAAATGAATATTGAGGTGAGAGAACTCTGCAGGTCATCCTTCATCAATAGTACATAAAAATTAATAGGTGGTGGTTTTTCCTTTATCAGTTAATATTTTCTGTTTAATTTTTTCATAAGGTTTTAATTGTTCTATTAAGGCATCATTGAAAAATGACAGTTTGTATTTGTTGAGATTTTCTTACTGGCCTTGTATTGCGGTTCCTGGATATGCCTCATCCACTGTATGTATCAGACCTTTCTTAGAGAAAGCTCTATTTTCAGGCTGATGGGTATAGGAGCCTGTTTTTATTTTCCATACTATTAAACAGTTGAAACAAATTTTTATGTGCGGCAAGTTTATCAAAGAGTATAGTTTCCTGGGAATTCTTGTTTTCATGTTTGGGCCTTTGCTCTTTGTCCTTCCTTCTGAGTGGTATTTGGTGAAGAGGCTTTGAATTAAGTAGAGGCCTTTGAGAGGGCAAGAAAATCTAGAGCTGGACATATCACTCTATTGTGTTATGTCAGTGAGGGTAATATGAAGAACTAGATCTTTAAGAATGCATCCCCTGGCGCCGGCCCAGTGGCGCAGCAGTTAAGTTTGCATGTTCCGCTTCAGTGGCCTGGGGTTTGCAGGTTCACATCCCGGGTGCTGACATGGCACCACTTGTCAAGCCGGGCTGTGGCAGGCGTCCCACATATAAAGCAGAGGAAGATGGGCACGGATGTTAGCTCAGGGCCAGTCTTCCTCAGCAAAAAGAGGAGGATTGGCGGCAGATGTTAGCTCAGGGCTAATCTTCCTCAAAAAAAAAAAAAAAACCAATGCATGAGGTTTCAAAGGCAGAAGCAAACAAGGTGTTAGTCAGATTTTGGAGCCACCACACAGGGAGAGAGACAGTTACGTAGGAGCCTCAAGGAAACCACTTTCCAGCCCATTTTCTTGCCCTTCTAGTCAAGAGTATCTTGAAAATCACCACCAACTGTTTGATTTCCGTTTTCTTACAGATGTATTTTCCACTGATGTTTTCACAAGTTTCACATCAAAGATCCATTAGAGTTAGGATTTTTCTGTAAGGCCTCTTGTGTCCACCAGGAGACTAATCCAGACCTTTGTGGTTGGGAGTGTTCTCTGGTTCCCCTCCTCTCTGGGTGATGTCTAGTTGTATAGGAAACACCTTATGCTGTTAATAGTGCCAGTCAGCATGTTTTCCTGATTCACTGCAATATCTACAATGGGGCATAAAAGGAAAGACCTGCGAGTTTGTTTCTCTGCTGCCTTGTGCTGCCTTGACCCAGTTCTTCTGCGTGAGAACAGTCACCTCTCTCATGTCAGGAAGATGCTGTGTGTGTTTCCTGTTACTTGTAGCTGAATGTATTCTCTCAATATGTTTTCAGTAATGTTTGAATGTATGTCATTAAACATATGTCCATTTCTTGGTGAAATGAAGACTTCTGTAGTTGTTTCATTGATTATTTTGTCAACTATTCTAATCCATTGTGTGCTAATAAATATTGTGGTTTTCATTTCTTCAGAGAAAATATTAAAATCCATTTTAATTATGGATTTTCAGATACATTTTGCAGTTTTCTTCATTTAAACATACGTTATGAGTCAATTCTATCATGTGCTTACAAATTCAGATCGTTTTTCCTGAGGCAAACTGTATTTTTTATTCTTTACAGCTACAAATTTTGTCATGAAACTAATTTTCATTCTTCACTTAAAACTCATGGTTTTTTCAGTGTCCTCTTGCCAGAGACCTGCAGGATTGCACCTGTAGGCAAAGAGCACTGTGTAATGAAGTCTAAAGAATGACACAGACCATAGGGGACTGTGAGGTCTGACAGCAGCAGGGAGCTCAGAAGGACTGCTTACAAGATTGTGGCCTGTGTTTGTGGGTGTGACTGCTGTTCAAGGAGGCAGGCCACTTTCCGTGTTGAATGATGTGAGGAGGTCAACTTAATTCTCTGTCTGGTAATCCTAATTATTGTCTTCTAGAAGGCAGAATCAATGTAGTGGAGCTAAAAATAATTTGTCAGAAGTTCCAGTCAGTCATTTTTGTAAAAAGAAGGAACTATCAGTCATCTTTATGGTTTAGAATTTTATCTTTTACAATTTTTACTGACATGGCTACAAAATACTTTGAGTTTCGTCTTAGTAACTGTGTACCTTTGATGAAGGATGTCACATTTTTCTCTTTAGCAGGGTAAGACTTGGCCTTGCAGTGGATGCAGCCAGCTCCTGGTCCTCTGGAACAGCTTTGCCTTTCCTACTTACAGTCAAAACATGATGTATTTGCTCTGGTGTATTAGACACTGTTTACCATAAAGTATGTCAGTTAGCATAGATAAATTAACTTCTTAGTAGATTACATAATATTTTTAATATCTTCCTTATGACTTAACTGAGGCCTATGAGTTTAGGTAAATTGTGAGAGGAGACAAGGGAGAGAGACAGGACCACTGTGCCAATCCTTCCTTTCTTTCTCAGCGACTGTGCTCTTGATGCTAGTGTTTCAGCATCCCTCACCTGCCGTGCACTGTAGAGTCTGTACCCAACTTAGCAAAAATAAGGCACAGTAGGATTTGGATATAGTGGCATAAAACAAACAAGTTCTTGCAGTCCTGGTGCTTATGTGTTTGTGGATAGAGAGATGATTTATAAATGATAAGCCCTTGTCTTATAAGGTGGAAATAAGGGCTTTGAAGGAAAGTAAAAAAATAGCATTGAGCTAATAGGGAGGCTTAGGTGCGTATGTATCTTTTCTATGAGGGTAGGAGTGAGGGAGGATGCCATCATCATTGTTATCTGGGACTGGAGACTTCCTACTGATTTCAGCCACAGATATTTGTGGTATCTTTTTGTGTTTAATGTCATTTATTTTTCCTTTAAATATTTAAAATGTAATCTTTGGCATTTTCATGTTGCTGCTGTACAGACTGAGTGTGCAACACACACCCCATCAAACCATGGAGTTCCTCCCACTTAGAGAAACAGTTGCCTTCATCTGCACTGTTCTGGCTCATCCTGAGTGAATTCTATGAGTAGAGTGACATCTATGCAAGTCCACTGTGTTTAGAGGCAGTCAGCCAAGGAATAATTGAGTGAGCTGCAGAGAGAGGATTTCATTTTGAGTAACATCCTAATTTAGTATACAGGGAGAAATGGGAAATTTTCAACATCTTTTCATCACAGGAGTGGCTGGAAGTCTTTAATTTCAATGATCCACAAAGCCCCCGAGCCCAGGTAGCTGATCACAGGTTTCCTTTCCATGTGCTTAGATGTCCAGCACATGGTGTGGGAAAGTGAGAAACAGCAGTCACAGCGTCAAGATTTAATAAAGGAGCAAAACAAATGATTAATTTTCCCAATTTTTTTAGTGTTAACTTACCTGTTTCAGGGGTGTCATTTCAATGGGCACCACAGGACTGTTCTTTTCAGTGATGGCCTTTTTTCCATCTTTTGATGGCAAGATTAATATACATTTGTGAAAATCTACAACTATACTTAAAATATTATATATTTATATAATTAATAGGAAATGAGTAACAGAATCACTTTCATATGTTAGGAGAATGTTGAACTCTCCTGATCCTTGGTTTTTATGCATTCAACACTTCTTTCTAGTACTGGGATCCTTCTTAGGAGAATTGAAGGGCTGAGAAGAAGGACTCAGTCCTCAACAGGCGTTTCTGGCAACCCTGTCTTAATTGAGGAAACACCCCCTAGGGTTGCACCTGCCCTCAGCTCATACTCATAACAGGAGTGAAGTGACAGGGCTCCCAGAATCTTTGAGTTTAAATCAGGTTCTGTGGATGTGTCTTGGGAAATTCTGTGGTTCTGAAACAAAAGCTGTCTCCTAAGTGGGACCTATCTGGGGACATCCTCACTCATGTGCTTTAGCATCATTTCTTTCCATTATTACCCATAGATCATTTCCAGCCCTTCATTTCCCAACTCAAGCCTACTCTGTGCCTGCTTACTTGCAGACATGTTTAGAAATTAACACGTCCCACTCTGCAAAATTTCTCTGAGGCAACACAGGGGGCCTGTGAGCTGAGAAGGTGACAGAAGCAGTGGTAGGACCCATGTCATGGGCACATTCTGTCAGTCACAGTTGTCCAGCTGTCACATATTTATCAGATCTGCTTGCTTCCTTATTCACACGGCACTTACAAGTGACTGACTTTGAACGGGGAAACAAATGGCTCTAGAATTTGTCAAAATAACAGTCACTCCAGGAGTGTCTCCCCACATCCACTTACCATAGAGGCTTCAGCAGCCTCCCATGATGCATCCGAGAGTCGCCAAACCTACCCTGCTGGACATGAATCGCCCAAGGCATTCTTGTACCCAAACTATTCTCCTCCAGTACTGCACTCAGTTAGAGAAGCCACCGATGGCAACTGACAGAGTCTTTGTAAATGGAGGCCCTCCCAGGGCCTGAGTTGATGATCCTCCACAGCCAGCTTCCCATTTGCCTTGGGTCTTAAATGCAGGACCCCTCTGGCCTGCTAACCAGAGGCCTCCTCATTGAAGAGATATGGGTACTTACAGCATAGAGCCAAAAATGACCCTGCTGGCATATCACATCTACAGAGGGGAGTGTGTTCCCCTCTTCTGTGATTGATGTAATGCATTCTGGAGGAGGTCACCTCCTTTTTAGAAAGATTGGCCACTTCAGGTGTGACGTGGGGGCACATGAATGACCAGGGAGTTCTTATACGTTATGCACAGTGTGCACCACCACGCCTGATACCTGATGGGTCCACTGCAGAGTTGCTGTGTTCTTCCCCAGATCAAACAGGCCAGCTCTGATCATGGATTGGATCAGACTGATGAGTCAAATTCCAGGTAATCATGCTGGCTATAGAGAATTCCCTGGGCAAGAATCACACTCATTTGCACATTTTTACTGATCCTTTGGCCATTGCCAATGATTTAGCTGTCTCATCCCACCAACAGCAACACCTCCTTACCCAAGGTCACCCCCTTTGCCATAAAGAACTCTGGGATACCTTGCCTCACATACCCAAGTACAAATCAAAGTCACTCCTTTCTCTGCACATGTTACACCTCAGTCTGCAGAGGCTCATTTCCTTGTTCAGGGCTATAAGTCCACTTGAATGTCTGAGACACATACTGATAACTCAGACCTGACGGCATTTATCTCTGCCCATGGGCCCCTGTGATATGGAACCAGTAAGAGGTCTCTAGCCCAAAGGTCTAGGCAGAATTCTAGAGACTTCCCTCCTCTACCCTGGACAACTTAGTGACTGACCAATGCACCTGATACGAAAAAAATGTGTCACAGGTAATAGAATCCATGCACATTAAGTCTTTGGGAAGGAGGGGTCCCTACAGCTGATGGCAGATAGACTTTGTTGGGCTGCTCACCCACTCTGCTGGGCTGCTTGCTATGCTCAGACCACGGTAGAACCTTTTATACACAAATTACTCCTGTCATATGTGATGCTCCTGAACCCAGAATCAAGAACTCACAAAGATGCTCTAGAAATTATTGATTTTATCAACAAATGTCACAAAATATAAAACAGAGTCTTGAAAAAGGTATTCAGTGGATCTTGTACCTTTCTTATGACTCAGGCTGCAGTCCTCTTGGGATGGCTAATGTCTTACTTAGACACACCTTACTTTCTTCTAATAGCCGTTCCTACTCTTTGCATTACATTCAATCCTCAGTCTTTGGGGCTTATTTGTTCTGATCATCAGGCTCACTGGGTTCTTATAAGTAGAGCCTTTCTATGTTAGACATTTCTGTCAGAACGGTCACTCCTACAGGTCTTAGGTTTACTGTGATCATGCCCCCTGGCCACCACTCATATCCCACTCCCAGATCCTCCTCCTAACATCGCCTGTAGCCTGTGCCCTGGGTGTCAGTATTTCATTCTGGGTGTTCTCTCTCAAACTCAGGTCCATCCCACACAAATGTGCTGTTTTTCTATCATTTGCTCCTACGTGCTCATTGTCCTGGGAGTCACTGGTTCTGACCTGGGCACACATGATGTCATTCAACAAACACATCCTCAATGCCAATTAAGTCCCAAACACTCAAAATGCATGCAGCAGACAGCTAATGTTTGAGATGTTTTATCCAAAGGAAAACCCCCTGGCAGCCATGGTAGCTGCTGACTACTTGGGGTTTGGACTATTTATTAACTAGCCAGGCAGAGCTTTGTTCCCTAAAAGGGCTGCTTGCTGCATGTGGGCAGGCTATACCAGCAAGGTGCCACCAAGAACACGACAAATGAGACAACAAATTAATATAAACAGTAACATTACTAAAATATTTGAACAGATTTCTGGAACCACACTGACACACTTTCCTGGATCTCTCCAACATACCGGGATGACTGGAGTCAAAGATTTTTTGAGGCTTTGTGATCCTAACTATAATTTCTTGTGCTTTTCTCATGGCTTTTCAATTAATATTCGGATTCATGTAATGAGACATGTCATCCTTCAGTCAATGAGCCTCAGGAGTGAACTTTAATGAAGACACTGACCTCTCTGTTAATATCTGAGTCTTCATCAGCTTTAGATACCTGCTCACCCTGTGTGGCCCACACTGTGACAATGGATAAAGAAGTCAGGAAGGCTGACACATGCCCGTTTTCTTTTTGTGCCATCAGGTAGGAGGGTCAAACCTTGAAAACCTGCTCCTCTCCCCCTATACACCTTAAAGGCTCAAGCCATTCTCCCTTGCATGAGCCACCCCAACCCACTTACCCTTGCCCTGCTTTCTGCAGAAAGTACATGTAAGTAATATATTGCTATTCCTTTGGTGTGTGTGGTGAGATAGACTTGGCATCCAATCCTATTTTATGATAAAACAGAAGGTAGCCAATGGAAAGCATCTTTTGGGTGAAAAACAGGTATTCAGCTTCAGGAATTTCTATAAGATGAGGAAAAGAAATCTGAATACAGAGATTCTGGTATGATAATGTTTTTATTTTTATTTTTCTTATTGCAGTAACATCGGTTTATAACATTATATAAATTTCAGGTATACATCATTATATTCAATTTCTGTGTAGATTACATCATGTTCATCATCCAAAGACTGATTAGAATCCATCACCACACACATGTGCCTAATCACCCCTTGTACCATCCTTCCTCCCCCCTTCCCCTCTGGTAACCACCAATCCAATTTCTGTTTCTCTGTGTTTGCTTGTCATTATTTTTATCTTCTACTTATGAGTGAGATCATATGGTATTTGGCCTTCTCCCTCTGACTTATTTCACTTAGCATAATACCCTCAAGGTCCATCCATGTTGTCACAAATGGCCAGATTTTATCCTTTTTTATGGCTGAGTAATATTCCATCATGTATATACCACACCCTTTTTATCCATTCGTCCCTTGATGGGCACCTAGGTTGCTTCCAAGTCTTGGCTATTGTGAATAATGCTGTGAGGAACATAAAGGTGCATGTATCTTTATACATTTGTGTTTTCATGTTGTTTAGATAAATACCCAGCAGTGGAATAGCTGGATCATATGGTAGATCTACTCTTAATTTTTTGAGGAATCTCCACACTGTTTTCCATAGTGGCTGCACCAGTTTGCACTCCCACCAGCAGTGTACGAGGGTTCCCCTCTCTCTACATTCTCTCCAACACTTGTTGTTTTCTGTCCTGTTAGTTATAGCCATTCTGACCGGAGTGAGGTGACATCTCATTGTAGTTTTGATTTGCATTTCCCTGATAGTTAATGATGTTGAACATCTTTTCATGTGCCTGTTGGCCATCTGTATATCTTCTTTGGAGAAATGTCTTATCAGGTCTTTTGCCCATTTTTTAATTGGGTTGTTAGGTTTTTGTTGTTGTTGTTGAGATGTAATGTTTTTAGATGTGTTAGTCACAAAAGAGAAACTTTGAAACCACCCACATGGCTCTAATAGTAAAATAAACAATTGAAAAAGGAATAGTCTCACAAGGGAAAACTGAGCAACAGAAGTGAATGGATGGTTTCTGTTCCGATATGTAAAGAGCCCTGAGTGATCATCTCATCTTCCCAATAAGAAAAACCTGAACCACCTGAAAAGCAACACCTCTTCTTAGATCCAAGAGAGGTTTGAGATGACATGGCAAACAAATGCTCCCAAAATGAGAATTTTGGAGCAAGTATAGAGAGTTACCACTTACCTGGAGAAGAAACACCTGGAGCCAGCAACCTCGAGGAACACATATCCTCTTGATGGTGAATTTGCTGGAGACACAGATTGGACTAGCTTGAGAGTCAAAAGCTTTAGGGAGTCTCAGAGAACCCCCCAAAAGTATGTACTTTTCCACCAGCAACCCAAGGAAGTTCTTGTAATGAAGACTGGAAAAAGTTGTCTCATGCCTCATGCAGCAAATTGTGGGAAAACTTTTTGGTATACACACAAGCACTCTGTGCTCTGTTACTTGGCCATCCCTCAAAGGAAACTAATTTGCCAAAAGCTTATCTGATTAGGGAAAGGGCAGTCAGACAACTCCTAGACGCTTTAGAATTTCTTTGTGACAAAAGGGGAGGAATAAATGCTAAGATGGTATTGTCAAATTCATGGTCCAGGGATTCTGTCCCATGAAAACTTTACAGGTTTAATCATAGCATGAGAACATTTTCTCACCCTGATACCTTCCCACATATCAACAGGGCTCCAGTATAAAAACAGTGGGTTAAAACAGAGAATTGCAAGACACAGACTATGCAAGACTGAGTTTCGAGGGATGCCTAAGCACACCAGGGACAGAATATTCCAGGACACTTGTATGCAGCATGAGGTGTCATAAGAGAGAAGTTTATAGCAATAAACACATATTTAAAAAGATATCAAGTTAACAAGGGAACTGGAAAAAGAACAACAAACTAAACCCAAAGTACAAAATGAATTCTCTGAAAACTACAAAACGTGGTCCAAAAGAAATTAGGAAATGCATAAATAAATGGGAAAATATCCCAGTTTCATGGTTTTCAAAACTTGTTGAAATGGTACTGCTCCACAAAATGATCTAGAGATTCAATGCAATACCTATCATAACCCCAGCTGTACTCTTTAGTGAAATGGGCAAATTGTTTAATAAATTATATGGAATTGCAAGGGAACCAGAATAGCCCAACCAATCTGGGAAAAGAAAAACAAAGTAGTAGGACTAACTGTTCTGGATTTCAAAACTTTCTACTAAGCAAAGGCAGTGTACTAAGCAAGACAGTGTGGTACTGACTCAAGGATAGACATAGAGACATGTGGAAGATTGAGATTAAAGAAATAGCCTCCCACATTAATGATCAACTGATCTTTGACAAAGGTACCAAAAGAGAGGAAAGAATATTCTTTTCATAAATTGATGTTGGGCCAACTGGATAGCCATATGCAAAAGGAAGAGAGTGTACCCTTAAAACCCACAAAATACAATGATTTACCAAAAAGATCAAAGACCTAAAGATGAGAATAAAAGCATAATGAAAGTATATAAAACATAGGAAAAAATTCCTGACCTTGGATTTGGCAAAAACATGTTAGATATGACACCACGAGCAATAATGGGGAAACAAAAGGAAATTTGGACTTATGCACTATGGATCAGTACTACGGTACTAGTCTTATGGGGCCACCGTGGTATATGTAGTCAGTCATTGAGCCAAACTTTGGTATGTCAGGCATGACTGTGTATGGATTATATCTCAATAAAGCTGTTCATTTATGTAAATAAATGCATTTAGAGCTTCGAGATGCAAAAGAGTTTTACAATCCCCTCTCTTAGGCTTATTAGAATTTCCAGGTTAATTGACACATCCGTCACCTGATGTGTGTGTGTGATGAGAATGCTTAGTTCACTGTCAACAGTATACATATATCAAACTGTCAGGTTGTAATCTTTATATATAGACAATATTATTAGTCACTTTTCCCTCAATAAAGCTGGGGAAAAAAGTTTCCAGGTGCATCCCACATTTACATAACGATTGATTGGTTTCTTAGATTGGTGAAATTAGGAATCACTGGCCTTAGGGATATCACAACCATTTACCTTTCAAACTTCTGTAGGGACAAAGGCAAAGATTGACCTAAAGGAAATTTCCCTCCAGTGTAAAATGTAAACTTGGGAATTTAATGAGGATGTGTCCTAGCTTGTGGTTGGTCTGAGAAGAGACCTTGCACCCAGCTAGGGCCGCCGGGTTCTTACTTCCCCCAGAGCCAAGGGCCCCAGGATTCTTTATCTTAAGAAGCAAATGAGTGGGGGTGGGGTGGGGATGGGTGGAAGGCTGAACACTGGCAAGGAGGAAAGATCAAAATGGAGCCAGACTCTTGTATTACAGATGGTGAGGTCATGTTACTGCACTAAGGGCACGATCTGCTCACCTGAAGACAAAAGCCAATCGTCAAGAGGCAAGACGGTGGCAGAGAAAGGGCATTTTATCACAGCTTGCTAGCAAGAGGGAAGATGGCCGACTAACGTCCAAAAGAACCATCTTAAGGGGGACACAGAATCTTGAAGCATTTATATAGGCCAGTGGGTTCTACGGGAGGCGGTTAGGAATGTTGCCCCTCTGGTGTTACAGACTGGGAGTTGCCACACCAGATCTTTCAGTTTCTATTGAGGATGGTTGTCAGCATAGACTCTTCTGTTTAGGGGGGGTCATCACGTTCCTAAGGAACTCAGAAGAACGAAGATATCGTCTTACCGCAGCTGGGAGGTATATGTACTAGCAGGGGTCATAAAATCTACAGAGCAGGTGGATCTCCTGGAGGGTGCAAATCGAGCTGCGTTGGTTAGTCAGAGGTCATTCAAAGTTACAACATGGTCTCTTTTCTACAATATGGCTTCCCTTATGTCAACCTTGTGTTGAGCCGGTTTCAGTCACGTTTAACTGTCTGCATTTCTAAACAAGGGTCAGGGTTCCATGAGTGGCGATGCAGCCTTACCCCAAGCCCTTGACCCCGGGAGGACATGACCCTTTTGTTCCAGTGTGGCCCAGTCCAGGAACTTGTCTGTACTTGCTCCTGCTCCTTCTTGAAACTGACTCAGGAATTCCCTGTGCACGCCTGTTACTACGCGTTCATAAAGCGGTGGCGAAAACAATTGTCAGTCCCAGGCCATGAAAATTTCTCCTTAAACGTGAATGCACAGGCGGCACAGGTTACAGCCCACCTGCAGAAGCTGGTCCGCAGAACCTGGCGTCTTCCTGCTCCGCTGCCACTCAGGCTTCAGGGGGCGTGGCCTTCGGGAACTGTCCAATCAGGGGATCCGCTGGGACAAGTGGGTGGGGCGACGCACCGCCCCTGCGTGGAAGCCCCTGGCTCAGGCCGCGATGGGGGTCAACGGTCGCCTGCCCTAAACGGCCCCTGGTGGCTCTGCTGCAGCCTCTGTCGCGCTGTGTGACCTGCCCTGGCCGTGGGGGTCGTAGGAAAGACTCAGGGAACCCAGGAGCCTTAGAAATGGGGAGTGTGCGGCCCCGGGGTGAGGACGCGGGAGCAGGGGCTGGTGGGAAGCGGCGGGGCGGGCCCGGCCTCCCGCGGTACCCTCCGGGGTCTGCGGCCCCGAGGCCGCGGTGGCGCCGCTCGGCCCTCAGGCCCCTCCGGCCGCAGCGTGGGGGCGGGGCCGGCAGCCGGGCCCCGGGCGTCCTGTGGTCCCTGCGCGCGGCGACTTGGGCCGGAGCGTCTTGGGCGGCTCTGCCCAGATTATATTTAAGGATTATATTTGTCTGGGTATTTTACATTAGAAGACAGCAGAAAATAACCACCTGGAACTACTTGGCGTGAAATCCTGTGCCTCTCCTCCCAGGAGCTTTCTGGGCACAGACATCCTGTAGGAAGTCCTTTGGGTGCAGGTTCCTCTTGAGAAACAGTCTTGGGTGATCCGTCCTGTCAGCACTGTCCCTCTCTGGGTTTGTGGTCTTGAAAAGATTTACGCGCTTATTTAAATCTGTTTTTCAATAGAGGTAAAATGTATTTAATCAATAGAGTTTGAAAGAGTATAAAATACTTGCAAACTAGCAAGAAAGAGGTGAATTTCAAAAAACCCCCACAATTCCTGTATTAATTCCATTTGTTAAGAATTCTGATTTCACTCTTTCTTCCCCCTGAGTGTGTGTATGAGTTTCTGAGGTCTGTATTTACTTTTGGATGTTTTTCAAATGAAATTCCAGGGCTCAGACATGCAGACCATGAGTGTTCAAGTGTGATTTGTTATTTACAAACCAATGTCTTGCCATGGGAATAATAATTAACGACATCGTTTTTTCTGAAAGGAATAGATACTTGGTTTTTCCTGGTTGAACTAGTGAATGTGCCTTACAATTTTCTTCCCTCCTTTTCACGTAAAGGATGAGTTTAAGTGATTTTGCTGGAGTGTTCTAACACTGGGTTTGTGTCATTTAAAATCACTCGTGTTCCAAAGCAACTCCAGTGGGGAGCAGACCCTGTAGTCATTGACCCAAGTTAAGGCCCCCTTGAGCATGCAGAGGGAAGGCCTTGAAGGCCCAGCTATCCTTCCTGGGGAGCCTCCCCCTGCAGGTGTCCTGCTGCTCACACCCCCATGGAAGGAGCCTTTATCCTGAGAGGAGCTGCGAAGCCCTGGAAAGCTGGGGGTGCACGTGCTCATGGGGTGGGGAGTGATGCCCTTTCTGAGGTTGTGGTTGTGGTTCCTTAGGGCTGGACATTTTAGACATCGTTTGAGTTTTGCACCCACACCGTAGGTGCACTGAGAGTGTAATCTGTGCACAGTGAGAAAGTCTGTGAAGATCAGGTGTTCCGTCCTGTGGACAAAGGGTTCATGAATTTGGAGTTCATGTGGGTCAGAAGCTTAAACTGAATCCGGCTGAGAGTTTCCTCACTTGTGAGAGTGGGAGCCTGGGGGAGGCAGTGCTTCCATGCTCACAGGAGAGGGAGGGTGTGTGGGACTCGAGTTCACTCCTGTTGTTGCTCAGGGGTCCCCACCCTCTTTCACCAGGGACTGACCCAGTGTAGGGGTTCTATCTCAGCCAAGAGTGTCTGGACCCCAAGTCTGGGAATATAGTCACTTTCTGAGTGTTGGTTTCCTTCTGAACTGCAGGCAAGCAGGCTGCTTCTATGAGCTGATTGGAATATTCGTGTTTCTATCTGTAGATTCCTTTATCACTTGAAGATTGCTGCCCTTTGATTCTAGTCTCCATTAGCACTTGAGGTTTTAAAATATAAGTTAATTAACAGATACCATGTAAGGCAGGAAAATTATAGAACCAAATAGAATTTTTGATCCATTTATGCAAGAGAACCTCAAGATGTGAGATGGGTGTATTCAAGTTCTCAGGTGCTTTTTCCATTTTTAGGTCAGTTTTTGTGTGTTCATGTCCCTAGAGAACTTTGACATTTAAATGGCTATAGTAGTCCAGATGCAAATGAATTCTTATTTTAATGGATGTGAGGAAAAGCAATTGAATTTCTATTTTCATTGATATGAACAAAACAACTCAAAGCTTATGGAAATCTTTCCAATTCCTAGTCCAGTTCAGGGTTAAATTTCAGACTGCACTATAGTATGCTACTTATTCCTGAAAACATCCCCAGTGTGAAGTACAGTGGCGGGACAAACTGTCACGCCCCTTGTCCTTTTAGTTAGAAAGAGGTGGGTAAATTTTTTATTGTCTGCAGTTTTATATTCATTAGTGTTTAAAGGATTAAATCTTGGAATGGTTTCCTATGTAGAAAAGTAAAAATTAAATTAATTTTAAAAAGCAAAAGTTAATTTATAATAATGATTAAGCATAGAAAAATGTGTATATAAATTTCTCTCCTTATTTTAAATAAATAACGCATGGGAAGGTTAAAAATATTCCTGAGAGGAAACGCCCTTAAGGAGACTCCCCGCCTGCATGTCTTGCCCCGCTCCTCTGCTCTGACTCCAGCCCCCGTCACATGACCAGTTTTGATTAGTGCTTCACTGTCCCATTAGGGTTTCTTTATATGAAAATAAGCCAGTGCACAGCCAGCCCTGGTGGCCTACTGGTCAAATTCAGTGCGCTCCGCTTCAGTGGCCTGGGTTCAGTTTCCGGGTATGGACCTACACCACTGGTCAGAGGCCAGGCTGTGGTGGTAGCTCACAAAATAGAGGAGGATTGGCAACAGATATTAGCTCAGGGTAAATCTTCCTCAGCAAAAATACCAAAATGAAAACCAAGCCAGTACAAATGCCTGTTTTTCTCACCCATGTCTGTTCTTGTAATGAGTGGCCAGGGTCCACATATTTGCTGTTTGACTTCTGAACACTAAGCCTCGCCCTCCCTTTTCCCCTGGGCCTTCTTCCCTGGACAGGCTGATGAGAAAGCCTGGAGGCTCCTGCACTGTGGGCTGCTGCTTGCTGGGCAGCTCCTCCTGGGCGCTGTGCTGCCCTCTGCTGCCCTGTTGACCCCACCAAGCCTGGGTTCTGTGTACAGAGGACTCTGAGTTGGCAGTTTCTGTAACTCCTTATCCTTTGGGAGCAGGAGGATGAGAATAGACTCATCACAGTGGTCCTGGGTCGATGTCTTGGCTGGAGTCTATCTGTGTCTAGAATGAAACTGTGCTTGAGGCTGTTTGTCCCTACATTAGGGGCATGTCTTAGGGGAGTAGGAGCATGATCGTATCCTGTGAATGAGGCAAGCCCATCAGATGGTCAATCCTCAAAGAGCGGTTATTGCAGAGGAAAAAGAGACAGGGAAAGGAGCCAGCAGATGGAGGGAGGCATCCACACTCCTAACACCAGAGGGCTCCCCACGCCCCTTCAGTGCCTCTGCTGCTGCTGCTGCCCCTGCCTCTACTGCCACAAAGACCCTGACTTTCAGGGTTTAGGGGACAACAGCCATGGCACCCCTGTGGCACAGCCAAGGGAATAGTCAAACCTGATTTAAGACTGCAGTCTTTAAACTCTATAAAGCAACTGGTTGTTATGCTGGAGGCTCCTAACTGATGGCACTGATGTGAGGCCCTCTGGAAGAACAATGTATAAATACCAGGGTACAGAGGACACCCCATCCCCCAAAGTATATCCAGTGACCTGAAATACAGGACAGGGAAGGACAGCAGAGAGGGAGCAAGAGGAAAAAGCTACTGAAAGAAGGTCCCCAATGTGACCCAACTGGAAATCCAAAACATACTAAAAGAAGTTACACAGCAACCAAGAAAAAAGGGTGCTCTTTGCCTTCTGAGCCTCTAAAACATAGGTTTTGAGTTCGTTGTACCATCTCCCGTGATGCAATAATTCACGGCCCTTCACGCAATTTCTCAATGCTGGGTCTCAAGTTACAGTCACACCTGGCTGGGGTCTCAGTAAATTTAAGCAAAGGACCCACGATCTTAAGGAAGTTACTGAGTATAACGCAGAGGCCGGATTGCTATACTTCACCTTAACCAGCAGAACTCTTTGCCAGGCCTCCAAGCCAGGACCCATTGTCCCAAAATATCCCACAGTGAGCAGGAAAGCTCTGGATCCATAATTCACAAATTAAAATTCAGTTAAATTGTCTTCACCCCTTTCAAATTAGCTTTCCAAAATGGGGCTCCATGGTCCCTACCCGCTTAGTTCAATTAGCTAACATGGCCCAGTGCGAACTGAACAGAACCTTCAAGGACTGAACACTGTTGTAAGAAACCTATTTAGGAAGGAGTGATTGTCCCCAGGATTTCTACCTTGAACAGCTGAATTTGGCCTGTTCTTAAGACTAGAAAGAATGAACGACACCTCACAGTGGGTTACTGCAACCTGGAGGCTGTGGTCACACCAAACACAGCCCTGTACCCAGTGCCCAACATCATGGAAATCACTGACTCCATCCAGTCAGCAACTGGTAAACATTCTGCTCGCACAGATGTGGCTGAGTCTGTTCTGTCCAGTCCTGTGTCCACAGCCTCTCAGCTGCACTTGGCCTTCCCCTCTGAGGGGACAGGACTCACCTTCACAGGCGTGCCCTGTCTTACTGCACTTCGCTTTATGTGCTTTGCAGACATTTCATTTTTACAAAGACCCTCCACCAGCAAAAAGATTGCGACTCACTGAAGGCTCAGATGATGGCTAGCCTTTTTTAGCAATAAAGTATTTTTTAATTAAGGAATTACATTGTTTTTTTGGAGATAGTGTTATTGCACACATAATAGACTGCAGGATAGTATAAACACAATTTTTTTGGGACTTTTTTTATTGAGTTAATGATAGGTTACAATCTTGTGAAATTTCACTTGTACATATTCTCTGTCATTCGTGTTGCACCCCTTCACCCTTTGTGCCCTCCCCCCATCCCACCTTTCCCCTGGTAGCCACTAATCTGTTCTCTTTGTCTACGTTTTTAAATTCCTCATATGAGTGGAGTCATGCAGAGATTGTCCTTTTCTATCTGGCTTATTTCACGTAACATAATTCCCTCAAGGTCCATCCATGTTGTTGCAAATGGGGCGATTTTGTTCTTTTTTATACTGAGTAGTATTCCATTGTGTATATATACCACATCT